CCCAAAAACTTCCATGCAAATACATTTGTGTATTCACACTCCTTCATACGGCACACGTATATAGTGCAGAGATCACACCACATGTCACCGGACTGCCTTATAAGTGGGTTTTCACACTTGCTGTGTCACTCTCACATTTCTGCTGACTCCTCAGATTCCGTCTGGCATCCTGCGACTGAAGTCCGCGCGGCTGATGCATAAGCAGGCATGCTTTGCATGTTGATGTGCTGGTGTGGGGGGTGAATGGGTTTAAAAAAAAAGAAAAAGCCCCTGCCTCCGTCTGTGCATGCTGCTCGGGCCGAGAGAACAATACTCCCATCACAGGAGGACAGATTGTGTGGCAGCTGCATTGTTGAAGGACGGCACGCCAGACACACTTCTTCCCCCCCGACACACACACAAACTCACTCTCGCTCTCTTCCCCTTTGTTTTTTTTCTGTTTTTTTTTTTTTTTTTTTTTTTTGCTGGACTAAATTATTCCGGCTCTCTTGTGGCATTCAGGATGAAAAACAGCGGCGGTGCAGCTTAGACGTCGGGGGTCGGGACATTAAGAGGCCCCTGCTTTCCGGTGCTTTAGCGTGCGATCTGAGAAATTCTTCTTTAAACTATAACCATAAATAGGAGCGCATACAGAGTGCAGAAGTAGCTCTTTTGAAGTGATTTGCAAACAACTGGTGAAAAAATGTATCTTTTGAAATAAATGTTCAGTCTTGTATGAGGAGCAGCTTCATGAAGTGAACTGAAGTCTTCCAATGCTACCAGACAGTATTTGTTCACCTTGTGTCAGCACATAAAAAAAATCAGCATTATTTGTCCAGAGCAGCATAACAGAGTATTTTTCTTTCACAGAAATCTTTTTTTTTTTTTTTTTGACATCGTACTTTGAAGAACAACATTTGAAGAAGATGCACCAAACTTGTAAATAACATTCCCGTTCACTTCTCACAGATCTCAGGGCAGTTTCATGCACTGGAAGTACCCTCCGTGGGTATTTCCACAGATAAACAACCTTACATGCAAACACACAGTTGTTGGTATTTGTTTGTGATGTGAACCGTTGTCACTAAAAACTGAAGCAGGCCCACTCTGTCCACATCATACCAGTTACAGGTGGGGTGTTGAGGCAAGTCATCATATGACTGGTTTTCAACTGTCACTTCCTTTTTCTATGCCTCTGTTTGAAGATAAATTTTTTTGTACCTTTGAGGTACCCTCAAAGGAGGATCTTGGCTCTGTCTGTTTTTTTATGCATGAAGCCAACAAGACTAAACTAGGTTAACGGGTAATTTGTATACAATGCTTTTTCTTGCTTTCCTTCATATATATTGTGCTAGAACAGTGGATGTTCATGTTCAATATGAACCAAACATGAGGCATCACGCTCTGATTCACAGAATTTTTATCTACTCTTGGATCTGTATGTCAGTGAGAGTGGATATTATATGAAATAGTCATCTCTGGCAATCAGCTTGGGCTGAAGAAGCCCCACCCACCTGGTGTACAAACCTGCTGTTTATGAAGGGCAGGAACTAGGCCGAGCGTAAATAGTTGATTTTATTTTTCTTGGCTGGTTCAGTTGTACAATTTTTGTGATCTGCTGATACAAACAAACAGCATTTTTTAATGTAAAATATTAAACTTCACTGGATATAACTTATTTCCCCCTAAACTTGAGTAAGTTAGAGGATATTTTTCTTGCTTAAATATCTAAAAACTACATGCTATGTGCAAAAATGAAAGAGTTGCTTTAAACCACCTTTATCCAACATATTTTACCTTACCAAACAAAAGCTGGTGCAGCAGATTTACTTAAGAAAACTAATGTCAGGTGCTTACACTATTTTTCAGTATCTTTATATATTTATAACTTTTCTCTTTTTCACTCATCTCCATAATGTTTACCTTGCCTCCGTTGCTCATACCGAGGCTGCTAGCAGCTAGCTGGTGGCTTGCTCTGAGCGCTGGACAGCTTTATTTCTTTTTTTTCTTTTTTTTTCAAATGTTCATGTTTAGCTGTGTGAGGGTGATGTAAGTGTGATTTAAGAATATTAAATATCCAGCACTATCAAATAAAGGTACTATTTTGAACTTTAAAATATGCCAGGCTTATTTAGTATGCTAAATAAAAATATGGAACCAGATATATAGTATTTCTCCCCACACCCTCTAGCAGATCATTACATGAAGGAACCTTTTAAAAACAAGCGCGTCCATGCTCACAGGTCCACACACACAAACTACACCCTTTTTGGCTCCCACCTCAAAGCACACTGTGCGCTGTCGATCTTACGTGCTGCACAATAATGTTTAATATTTAGTATTTACTGTTATATTCCCATATATCATCGTGATGTTGTTTATTGTATTGCTCTCGTTTTCTTCTGCTTGTTTTCTTTTTTTCTTTCTCAACAGGTGATCCAGGTGATTGATATATGTATTTTTTTTGTCTGCTTATTTAGTTGGTTTTTGTTTTTTTGCCCTTTATCCCCGTCCCTCTTCTCCGTTGTTTTTCCCCCTCTTCCTTTCTCCCCTTTCTTTTCCTCATTCAAGTCTGTCCCGTATCTAGCAAGTGAAAATAAAAAATAAATAAAATAAACAATAAAAGGTGAATCAAATGGACCATTACGGCAAGGCTGGGATGGTCAATTTGGTAAAGTAAATCCGTTGGGCATCTTTCTTTGCCTTTAGACAATAATTCTGATGGCAAAGGAACCAAACGGGACAGGCAAAAAAAAAAAGACATAGTATTTCTGAGGAAATGAGCAACATTTAAAGTCAACTCAAAATGAGGTTATAGCTACCAAAAGCATCGGTAATTTAGTGGATGTTTTGTGTGAATACACTGGAAGTAAACAAAGACATTTAATTTCTTTTTTTAAAGTGGTCACTGAACAATTTACAGATCACTCTTTGTTTCAGCCAGTCTGTGCACCCCCACACAACCAGCAGGCCACACTCAGAGGCTCTGAGCAACATTAGGGGTTTCTCTCATTTGCTACCACAGATGGAACTGAGAAACATTCAGGAAGGCCACATAAACACAAACACTGACTGCAGTGTTAGCTGGTGTATCACTGACTGAATTTCATAAACATTACTTAAGATTTTATGTTGTGGATTTAAATAGAAGTACAGCTTTATGTAATGTAGTTTGTGTCCAACTGTGAGGATTTCTTTTGGGCTTTCGGTGATCAGTAAACTAACTGGAAAACATAAAACATGTACTGTGTTTGTGTTAATGGGCAGTTTGTAATTTTTCTTTGTCATGGTAGCTCACACAGCTGTAACAGTAACGCTTGTTTGTGTCAGAAAGAGCCCTCTTTTTATGATTTTGATAGGACGCCCCACCTCTATAGTGGCCGGAGATTTGAAATAAGTGTTTTTTGACTCATGTCACGGCCAGCACCTCCTGCCTCTTAACATTAGCTTTGTCCAGTCAAAATGGATTTAATTTATCATACATATATCCATGGCTTTTTTCATAAATTATTCTTAATTATAGTTAATCTCCTGTTGGCTGCTCATGTTTGTAAATTTCGGCTGTACCTTTTCTTGCTGCACGTTTAGATTTTGAATGTGCAAAATGTGCCAAGCAGTTAAAAATGCGTTTGATTCTGTATGACAGCTTATTCTTACCTTTACTCTGAGGACACAGATGTGCCAAACAGGGCTGCTAACAATAAAATCATGTTTGCAGTGGGTTTTCTCACTTACTCAGTGAGACAGAAAAGTTAACGCACTCTGTTGAGTTATCACACAAAACGTGTCCGATGACTTGCCACAAACTTTGCAGATCTTTGTAATTACTGTAACGTCACGTCGTCACGTTCATTTCGGTTTCCATTAGTGAATGCAATCACTAAACGCATATGAATGAATTTTGCTCATATTTGTTTTGAAATGATGTATCAAGAAGAAGCGCTTTTCTATGTTTGAGTATGAAGTCACCACAATATGAGGAGACAAACAATGTCAATCCCATTTTAGAAGTTACAGCTAGTGCATGCATTGATTAGGTAAGCGGAGAATCTGCCTGTTGGCCAAAAAGGCTTTTATTTTATTTTATTTTATTTATATTACTGGTGTGAAGCAGCAATGAAGTGTTTCATATGGCAAGATCGTTGGCCTATTTCTCACTGAGCTGTTGTTTCAAAATGTAAAGTAATGTATTTCACAAAATAAAATGCATATGTCAATAAGAATAAGAATGCCTGCATATGACAGAGTCAAGTTTTGTACTCTGTACATATAAAATGAGGTGCTTTAAATCGTAAAGTATCAAACTGAAGAATTAAAAATGCCTTAAGCAGAGGGCTGGATATGATTCAACAGTGTTTCTGACAGTGCTGCTGTTCTTTAGCAGATGAAAATTGCCCGTGCTGCACAGTTATTACGTCTGTGCTGGCTTCCCCTCATTGGCTCGGTACTCGGGTGTTTAGCGTTTTGTCCCAGAGCTGTTATTTGTTTGACAACACAACTCATCACTGTTAAAATGCAAATCAGTAGAAGTTGGTAAAGATAGTTTTCAGCCTGCATGTTTTAAGCATCATAAAGCGTGCACCATCAGCAGCTTTTCATTTGAATCTTGCAGTCAGAACTTAATATGCAAATTAGCTATTGGAGCAGACAGACTCTGTCAAGACGCATCCCAGGGCAGAGGAGGTGTTGCTGCTTTGGGCCCTGCGTTTTTTTTTCCTTTTGATGAAGAAGAGGCGTGCTTGAGATGGGAGGAAGAAGCAGAATAAAATACCCTTACAGCTGCTGGGGAGAATTTTTATTATCATTGGGCCATACTTTAGATAAACAGATTTTTTGGTTTTTAATGTTTATGACATTTCAATTGTTTTTTATGTAGAAGTTAATGGAGTACTGACCACGAGTGTTTCTGTATTTGAACATAAATGCAGTGTAGTGCCCTGTGTCCTCATGTGATGGTATCACATGACAAGTGAGTATATACTGAGAATTTAACCAGTTCCTTTTTATGTTTTAATTCCCAGGTACCCTCACAGGACTAGTTAGTAAGTGAGTTAAGTATCAGTAGTAACAGTGGGGTCAGTCAGGTGTTTGGGAGGTCACGGAGGTAGTGGAGCTGGATGTATGAGAAGGATTCATGGGCCTGAAGGACCATCTGGAGGATGGGACAGGCCACATCCTCAGCCCAGGGCTGGATCTGGACTACCTACACGTGGAAGGTGCTGAACGGCAGGCTGGGAATTTAGGAGCGGGTGTCACTGTTAAAAGCAGCAATACTGCTGGTAGCAGAGGCATTAGCTCTATCATTCATTCAAGCAGCAGTAGCAGTTGCAGTAACTTTTCTGAAGAGAGTGCTATCTCTGACAGTGAAGATGAAAGGCTCCAGACCGGGTCTGGTTCTGACTCTAAAACACCGCACCACGATCAGCTTCACCTACACCAAAGGGAGGAGTCCTCAGTCTTTCAGCCAGTCAGGCTGGACCTGGCACCAAATACATCTCCTGGAGACCCCCCGGAAACATCTCTAACTGACCCCATCACACACTGCCGTACGAAGGTGGAGTTCGCTCTCAAACTAGGCTACCCCGAAGAGCTAGTGTTGCTGGTCCTGAGGAAACTAGGCCCTGACGCACTTATCAATGATATACTGGGAGAGCTGGTTAAACTGGGAACCAAAATAGAGATGGATCAGCAAGGAGGTCAAGCTGTCTCACAGTCTCCCTCGTCCTCTTTGTCCTCCACCTCCAACTCCTCTCTGGATTCTTCTCGGCTACTGTGCCGGTCCCACCTGCTAGAAGACAAAGAAAACCTGCGACCTGTTGTTGTGGATGGAAGCAATGTAGCCATGAGGTGAGGAGGAGAAGCTTTGGAATATACTAGGGTTTTGTTCTGCTTTCATGTATCTACCTCTTTACCTCACAAAGAGTGTAGCTTTATTACTTTATATTAGGCTTAAGAGCCTAACATATATAGCTAAGCTGAAAGCCATATAACACACATTTAGAGAAATGCTTATTTGTTGAAAACATGCATTGTTTAGTTTTCTGAATTTTTGTAAATCCAGTTTTTACCAAAACCATTTAAGAAGATATCAGTTTAAAACTATTAATGTTAGTTACATGTTACATACTATACATGCTGAGACAAGCAGCAAGACTCCGGCATGCAATAGAGGAGACATCGGTGAAAACAGGTGTAAGATTGATTTAATCAGATTTACTAAGAAACGAGTTGGAATACAGATGGGTTGCAAAGTGGCTTGCAGTGCTTTATATTGCCAATTCGATGCATAGAAGGGTATCAGCTAATTCTAGCTGAGCTTGAGATTGTGGCCTGTGTGAACTAATGCTATGCCTTTGTAGTTTGTATCACTGGTTTGTAATTAGTGACACAAAGTGAAACAATTGTTCATTGTGGGAAGATGTAATACGATTATGTAATTTTTGTTTTTGCTAAATTGTTTTTCAAAGTCTCAGCAGTCAGGGAAGACAACTATTTAAAAAAACAGTTCTTTCTCTGAGGGTTGGATTTACAACCTTAAACCTCAGATGGTTACAATCATTAGTAAAATGCAAAAACACATCTTCATCAACAATATCAACCTGAGGATACTCTACATTCAGATGCCTAATTCAAGAGTTTGACTTCTAAGCTTTTTTTGTGTTACTTGATTATAATTCAAAAAACATGAAAAACCTGCCGTACTGACAGTATGACTATGACAAGCAAACAGGCAAAGTTTAATCTTAGCTGTGTGGCTGATGCTTGCCTTCTGTTTGTGTAGTCATGGGAACAAGGAAGTTTTTTCCTGCCAAGGTATCAAGCTAGCAGTTGATTGGTTCTTGGAGCGAGGCCACCGTGACATCACAGTGTTTGTCCCTGCTTGGAGAAAGGAGCAGTCGCGACCTGATGCTCTTATCACAGGTAAAAATTACAGTCGTTGTCACAGTTGAAAGTCCCAGAATAACAACAGTGTGAAGGATGTGATTTAATATCCTGCTCTTGGAAGCATTTCCTATTATCCATTAACTCTAGTCTTTCTCTCTATATTTAACTATTGCACCTCTCCTTGTTCAGACCAAGAGATCCTGCGGCGTCTGGAGAAAGAAAAGATCTTGGTTTTCACTCCATCACGACGCGTTCAGGGACGTCGTGTGGTTTGCTACGATGACAGATTCATCGTCAAACTGGCCTACGAGTCAGATGGTATAATTGTTTCAAACGACAACTACCGTGACTTAGCAAATGAGAAGCCAGAGTGGAAGAAATTTATAGATGAGCGCCTGCTGATGTACTCGTTTGTAAATGACAAGTAAGCATATCGCACCAGCACAAGAAGCAAATCTGTTGGATTTCCTTTTAACGTCATTGTTTCCCTGCACCTTTGAACATACTAAATAACATGCTGTCTTTGTGTTACTCTAACCAATTTGTTGTTAAAAAAAAGGGAGAATTTCAACTTATGTCTGTGTTTGAAAGAACTCAATATTTGCATCTAATTTCAGTCTGTTAACTGTATATTTAGATTCATGCCACCTGATGACCCGCTGGGACGCCATGGACCTAGTCTTGAGAATTTCTTGAGAAAGAGGCCTGTTATTCCTGAACATAGAAAGCAGCCATGTCCTTATGGTAATAAAAAAAATGTTTAGTTATGTTTCTTATCAAATGCATGCTTATCAGCTATGCTGCAGAAGATGTCTGCTCTTGCATAGTGGAATTAGATAAAAAATTGTACGAGAATAAATGCTTTTTATTCCAGTACAATGACAAAAAAACTTCACATTTTTTCTTCCATTAGGAAAAAAGTGCACATATGGCCACAAGTGCAAGTTTTATCACCCTGAAAGGGGTAGTCAGCCCCAGCGAGCTGTGGCAGATGAACTCCGTGCCAGTGCCAAAATTTCATCAGTAGCTTCAAGAGGCCTGCTGGAACATGCCCTGATGGCGAAGAGCCAAAAAAATGGTCAATCAGAAGGAATGGCTGAGGCCCCGCTGATTCGGGATACCGGAAAGAAACAGCCAAATCGGAGCCTTCAGAGCTCCTTCAGTGAGCTCTCAGAGGACAAAACTCAGGTCAGTTCCAAAGTGGAGGAACAGAGGAGAAACAGCAGTCTTAGTGGCAGCTGTAGCAATAACATTGTAGCACATCCTGCTCCAGGGGGACCGCCTTCATCGGGACATCTGGAAAGATGGGAACACCCTGCTGGAAGTACTGGATGCAGCTCCGGTATTGCCGGGGCTTCAGGACCAAACAAAGCTGAATCTTATTACAGATGCAGTTCTCCAGTGGTGGGCTACAACTCTGTGGTAAAGGCTTATTCGGGACTCAGTCTTATAGTGCCACAGACTCCTGAATGCTTCTTTCCAGGTGAGCTCGGCACAAGTTCACTGGCTTCAGATTGTAGCAGTGAAAGCAGTGTCAGCTCAGATTCTTTCTCTCCTGACCCCGTGTTAGATGATAGCCCCAAGTGCCATCACCATCATCCCCACCACCACCACCATCATCATCACTACTCTGGCCAGTACCCTCACCAGGCAAGCCGTGTTTCTCCTAGTCTGAGCCAGCATTCTCCTCGTGGCTATGTCCATCCTCAAGGACTTTGGAGACAACGTGATTTTGGCATAGAAGATACTCCAGCATCTGTCGCCTCTCGCATTTCGCCACATCACGTCAACACCGCTTCTGACTACATCCAACCCCAGCAACAGCTTCAGCTGCTCGCCAATTTTCCAGGGGAACCACCTCATCCACAACATCCACCCCAAACACCCACTACTCATGCCCGGTCTCAGAGCTTCCCTCGAGGCCACAATATGGTGGGCTCCCTTTGGCCGGAACATGGGCTTCAGGACAGAGTGTGTGAAGGCTCATCAGTTCATTCTAGAAGAAACTACTCTGTGCGAACCCAACAACCTCAGCACCAGCAGAACTGGGACCCTAATTATGAGCCACCCCCTAAGCCTTACTATGATCTGTTTTCCTATAAGAGTTTTCCACAAGTCCATGGACACTCTCCTTGGGGCCAGCAAGTTCATTCATCACCACATGGCCTTTTAATACCAGGTCTTCCATCGCTTTCACAGCAGTCTCTTCCATCTGTCCCTACCCACAAGAGCCACATGCCCTCAGCAACCCAGCACGCAAAGCCAACTGCCTTGGGTCGATACCAGGACCTTAGGGAGAGGGTGTTTGTTAACTTGTGCGGCATCTTCCCTCCAGATTTGGTGAGGATGGTAATGACCAGGAACCCACATGTGACGGATGCTCAGGAGCTTGCAGCTGCCATTTTAATGGAGAAGTCACAGCACAGCTCTTGAATAAACACAGTGAAGTTTTCATCTTAACTAAACTCGTATTTGCAGGGATATCCTCTGTAAGCTTAATAAAAAAAGTCAAGTTGGGCATACAGAAACCAAAATCACAAGATACGAGACTCCTTCAGCTGTTAACACGCTGCCTTTTTAATGCTATTATTATACAGAGAAATACCAAAATTGCCATACTTTTTTTCTAGAAATATGCCTGCTACTTCTGAACGTAACATAGGAAAAGGTAGGGGTGCATCTGCATGTTTTCATCTTTTTTGGTTATGAGTCAAAACAGCACTGTATTTAGGGAAGCTTTTAAGGTGTTTCAAGGGTGGCAGTATTGTTGATTTTAAACTTATTTATTTGTTACATTTAAGTTATTTATATAATTTTAAAATTATTTTAGTTTTATTGCACTTTTTGTTATTTTTTTTTTCTTCAGATCATTTCTTTTGGCAATCATATCAGGGTATAATTATAGCCGTTTGCGCTGTTTCTCTGTTTCTAATTTTTTTAGTCACTGAGATGACAACATTGGGTATGTAGCTCTAACATTTTCAGCATTAACGTGGCACGCACGTATTTGCCACATTGCAAATACAGCCCGACCATAGTTGACGCTCAAGTAAGCCCAACAAACGGCTTTCTTTCTGTGCTGACAGGTGGCAGATCAGTTGTTGCGAGATTTTGTGGATTTCCCCCAACAAGGAAGTGAAACTTAACCAGCACCCACAAAAGAAGATAGCAAAAACTCCACTTGAAAACCCCAAGCTCTTGTTCACTTTTGAATGAGAGTTATTTCCTCTGTTAGGATAGCCCTGTCAGCTGACTTCACGGTTCATCACGCGCTGTTCCTTTCCATCGCTAAACAATATCAGTGTGCTAAATCAGGTTCAAAGTGTGGCAACTGGAAATGTTTATGGGGAACAGATTGTTGGTATTGTTTTAATTTAAATTATGTGTTAATTTATTATACTTAATGTTTGTGAATGTGAGACACGGGGTATCGTTTATCAGTGGTGGAGGGTTTATCTGCCTCTAATGCTTTGCATACAGTTGTGTTAACTGCACAGATCCACAGTTTTTTGTTTTTTTTTTTAGTTTATGAGACATTGAATAAAAAAACAAAACAGGCACCGGGTGAGAATCATAACCTTAAAATCACTACATCACCACTGAACTACATTTTGGACCATGGTAGTTTTTTACTTTGCAGGGGGTTTTTTCTCAGGAGATATTCATGTTTGGTTTCAAAGTCTGTGGTTCTGTTAAAAAAAGACAATAAAAATAGTTTTTAATAACTTCAACTGATCCTGACCATCACAGACCTCCTTAAATGCCAGCAGGGCTCGTATAGGTTTCCAGTTATCCTTACTTTTTTAACCATATTTTTTTTTATTTATATATTTATATTCATAATAATTTTGCAGTGCCCAAGGTGACTTCTGTGAATTGCCTGTTTTCTCCCAAAAATCGAGGGGCGGGGGGGATTTAAAATATATTTTTAGTGTTTTAAAATTATTTTTAAGTTGTGTCTTCTTAATGCAGCTTGCTTGGAGCTGTGTGTTTTTGAATGAAATTATGATAATTTATTTTTACTATCTCTGCCAGTGAGGTTATTTTTATTACCCGAGGAACTGTTTGGAAAGCTAACTCTCTCGCCTGGTTAGCTTAATTTCAAGTAGCCCGATGACACCTCTCTTAGTTGATACAAATTGTATCCTATATGGTGAAAATAAACATTGTTTTATATGAAAATGTGAGAACAAGTTTTCAGTTGAATATTTTTATGTGGCAAAATATGTCGCCCGTGATAGTTCGGCTTTTATGTAAGGGGGATTCTTGTTCCCTGTTTCCGGGTGCAGTAAAGTCTCAAGTGCACTTTTTGGATATAGTTGTGTGTATTGTCGGTGAACGGAAAGCAAGGTGGAGTCTAGCTCAGAAATGGTGAAACCTCTAACACTGGTTAGCTAGAGGCTAAGTGGGCACACGCTCATAAAACAGTAAAAGTGATCAGGGTTAAAAGTTTTATAACAGAAAGAGCTTGTTAAAGTTGTTTTGTGATGTGATTGGCTGTTATTAAAGTTTCCTGGCATCACACTCCATGGGAGCAGCAAACGCTGTAGCTAGCTTGAATGTTCCAAATGTTTCTTAAACACTTTCCAGAAAATGTATTTCTTTATTTCTGTGGAGCTTTCTAACATCAAAAAACTTTATTCTCAAACCCTGGAGAGTTGTATGCAAGGCATGAACAAATGTGAGTAACAGTCTGTCAGGTTTTTGGTTTTTTTTTTACACATTTTTTCTCTTATCATTAGCCTACATTGTTATCCGCTATGATGCTAAAGGCTAAGTCTGTGGTAACCCTGCTAGTCTGGCACTATGTGCTAGTGTTTGCTAAATGGGTTAAGACACCCTACAGTATAATTTAACAAACTTCTAAAGTTATTGTGTTTACATTCTGATAAATATTAACAACTTTATTCAGTGTACAAATACATATTTTTCTATTATTACAAACGTTTTAAAAAGGTATTTTTCTAAATGTGTGTATTTTTTTTCTCAAAAAAAAAAAAATCCCTAGAAAGTGTGTGTTAAATCATGTCCTGACATCATGCTGTGAATGGATTTCTTCATAGCTGTTGCTTGAAAAAGTGAATTCCGACTGAACATGAAGCAAATTTCTGTCTTGAATTATATACTTAAATTTAAGTATAGCTAATGTGCTGACTACACAGATGTAAATGTTCTTTAGCTAGCAACATACAGGCCACATTTGGAATGACTACAGTTAAATCTCTTCTTTTTTCCGTCTTATGCATATGTCCATTTAATATTCTGTCTCTTTAGCTAGCAGTGATCAAAAAGAAGAACCTGGCTCTCAAGAATCCTGGATTTAAATATGTTGGAGAATTCTGCAACAACTAAGATGGTTCATATCAGTTCATGGGGAAAAGATCTGAAATGATAGACAGTATCAGAGATGGACCTAGCCACCGTGACGTCAAGCATTGAGTAGCAAAACCCCATTGAAAAGCACAAGCGTTTTCTTGCACCATCTTAGTGTTTTGAATCTGGACTCGGCAACTAGCATATCCTGGATTATCATTACTGTAATAAAGTACTTTAAGCTGCCCTGTTATTTCTGAAAGGGTCATCTATATATGACAATCATGGAGACAATTTTACCATCAATTATAGCCATGATTAGTCCCAATTTTGGCTCTCTAGGGATGGTCACACAGTCCTTGGAACTGGTCTGCAACTTCTGGTTGTGTGGGAGCAATGAGTAGTCTTTGACCAGTTGGCAAGTAGCTTCTGAAGGAGGATGCAAATGGATTGCTAAAGCCAGGGCATAATAAATATTCCACCACCGGCTGGCAAAAACCTCCTTGCGACTGCTTTGGTTGCTAGCAGGTTGGTAGCAGTAAGCATGGAACACACCAACTTCGGTTGCAGTTTTTCTATGCCATAGGTGGTAGTTAGCATTTTCCCTGCAAACTACAGACGATGGTAGCAATCTGCTGACAACCAAAGCAATAATAGGAGATTTGTATGTGTGCAGATTTGCCTCCTGTTCAGTCTGAATGCGCTTTATTTGCATTTTGAATTTGCATGTGGGGTTTGTATTAACCGATGACGAGCAACTTGTCATTTGTTGCTCATTTGACTAAAATCATGATGTGTGTTTGTATTTTATTAGGTGTTTTATCAATAGAAAAAATGTAAAATGCCGACAGTCCCTGTTTAGCACATTTATTCACATGTTTATTTTTAGTGTGCTTTAATACAGCTTCATTTCTGCTACAGAAATAAGTAAGTGCCATCTCTTCAGGGACCACAGCCAAGGAAAAGGCTGTTTGTTGCTCATCTCTCGGGCTAGTGGTGCTTTTATTAAACCAAAATTAAAAAGGAAAAAAAAGTGTTAGACCATTGCTGCTGTTTCACTGTATATTCTGCTAGGGAATAAAGTGGTTCTTTCTATAATGTGATCCAGGATTATGGTGGTAAATCACAGTATTGATTCATACATAGAGTTAACAAATTAAAAGGAAAACCTAAAAGGAGGGGAGGAGGGAATTTCTGGGTTGCATTTGTCCCCTTGGAGGGAAGCGTCAGTTGTTCTGGGGCGTCATATTTATCCTGTGACAAAACATTTCAGTTCAGATGGCATTGATGAGTTGATCACCTGACTCCAACCCCACCTGCATGTTAAACAATGCTTCCCACCACCATCATCAAAACACTAAATGCGGGAATATCTGATAGAAGAATGAAACTATCCTTCCAGATGAGTGTCAGAGACGTGGAAAATTGACATTGAAGCCGTTTTGTTTGTATTTGGTGGACCAGCGCTGTATGTTGTCACTCATCACTATATTGATTAAGGTGATTAAAATTGTGCTTCACAACAACTTTTTTGATTTTTGGTTTAATGTACAGTACTTTCACTTTTTCGCCCCTGTATGAGTTTAACTTTTTATTCTATAAAACCACCATTCCAGAGTCGGTTTCACCAAACATTTGTTGTGCTCGATTAAGCTTTAGAGATTGAAACCCAAAACAAGAGCACATAAAACAAATGTGACATACCTACAGGATCAGGGAAAATGTGGCTGAATGAGACATGTTGACTGTTCTTGTGAGTGATGTAAAAGTGACCAATAAAAGCCTCACTTAAAGCTTTCACGTCCTGCCTGGTCTGTGTACATGCTGGATTTTGGTATAGTGTGATTTGAAATAAGAGTCTTTTAATTTTCCTTCATGAACATTTTTATTTGTATTAAATGTAATGTGCCTACACTGAACCACAGATGCCACAGAAACCTGCATGATCGCTTTTGGATGGACCTTATCACACCGATTTTAGAAGAGTTTTTCTTTTGGGTATTTTGGACACAGCAAGAGAAGTGACATCACTGCTCTACTGCAGTTGTTTACACTTGCATCACTCTTCCTGTTTTTTGACGATCTATCAGCTGTGGCAGGAAACAATGAAAAGTGCTGTGAAATGTTTCCATTAAGTTATGAAAATGAAACTTTCCACTTTGCGACCCCGTGAAAAAATTAAGTAAATTCCATGATTCAGTAGCTGTAAAACCACCTGTAGTAGCAATAACTGATCTGTTTTCTGTATAAATTTCTGTCATATTGTGGAGGATTTCTTTACAGCTTCAGTCCATTGAGGTTTGCAGGCATTAGTTTACTCATATTTTTGCCATTCTGTTACAGATTTGCTGGTGTGCTTTGGATCATTGTCTTGATGACCTAGTTTGACTTCATGATTCATGACTGACTCTATGCCTGCGAGGTGTTCAGCTCCTGTAGCTAGCAAACCCAAATCATGACACCTCCACCACCGTGCTTGACAGCTGGCATGAGGTGTTTATGGTGATATGATATGAACTATATTTGGCTTTCACTTTGCTGGGACATCCACTCATGGGAAGATTATGGTACTGTGTTAAACCACAGCTAAATGCACCACAGCAGCGAACTCCCAACACTTCTGCTTCTATAGAGGTGCTCAGGCCACATCCTGCAAATCTGATACTCATTCTGTTTGACGGAAGAGTCAGGACCAAGATCATACCATAGGTGTATTATTGGAAATATAAATTCATTCTTTATTGTGAGACAAAATATATATTGAAACAACTGCCTCAATGGAAAGAGAACGCCAAGCAAATCTAGTTTGCTTATCTGCCTGCTAACGGCTCTCTGTGAGCACACAACCTGTTAAAGAACAAGTTAACTGCTGAATGTGGACGACAGCGTAACTGTACCAAAACAAAATGACAGCAGTGAAAGGGAAAGAAATGACACGAGTAAAGCAGTTTAAAAAAAAATTTAAATTGTTCTGCTGAAGACAAAATAAAGGTACAGATTAAAGCGAACTCCCAACATCAATAAGCTATAGCTACAAATGATCATTTTATTTTGTTGAATAAAAGAAACCATTTCGGAACAGTCACGTTTTGTCTAAAGGTTGCGATATTGTTTAATTATCAAACATGCAAGCATTTAAATTGCTAGTAATGTACAGGGAGACGACACGTTGCTTGCTATTTGTCCAGATTGATTAAAAGACGTGTGCTTCATCGAGGCGAGGGCAGAGCTCTAAAAAGCAGAAAGCTGAGTATGTGGCTGGCCAGCCGCTGCTAGGCAGAGCTTTGGCGAGGTTGAAGCTACGAAGCCCTCTATCTCATCTTTCTCCGGGGTAGAGAAAAGGTAAGCTATTCTGCAGTGGCAGCAGGTTTTGGGCTTTACAAGGAGAGTGAGGCGTTGACATGGCAATGAGACCAAACGGTCTCTTTTCAGTGTCGTGTCCATCCACGTTTCTGGCTCACATGGACTCAAACTCATCTATACGCTGCTTGGTGTTGCCCTGGCGGATCTGCCGTAGGGTTTTGTACTTGTCTCTGCCCGCTTTGACGTTCTCGGCATGTAGCATGTCGTTCTGCGTTTTCTTGGTATCGTCCCGAGCCTCCGCCAACTCCGAACTCAAAGCCTGGACGGAAGACAAAGGGAGGGAGGTGGTGAGACACAATTCACTTAAGATAGACTCCATCGTTGCTCGAATGAAATATTTGCTTAAATTTATATCAACTCCTACAGGGAGTTGATACATACAGGGAATTTTGGCTTTTGTTTATTCAGTCAAGTTTTAAAGACCAGAAACACAAAGACACATTGTTGTAAAGATCAACAAACGGCCAAGAAATGCTGAATTCTGACAGCCGGCAGCTTGTGGTTGCTCCCATATCATAATAAGGATGAAAAGCTTTTAACAGCTGCCGTTCAACAGGACATCGGTACATCTGAGTGATAAAAGAAAACAACCTGCCAGGCTGGCTTATGCGCCACCTGATTTGCAGATAAAAGGCAGTGTTAATGTATTTTCACAGCTGCTCTGGATTCAGACAAACCGCCGCTGTAACCGAAGCTGCAATCAAATCTGTCGTATATTCTAATGTGCAGCAGGAAAACTTACGAGCTTTTCACTGCACAGGCTACTTTCTGCGGATTAAACTACAAAATTCAGACCCAGATCTTTTTAGCAGCTTTACCGGAAAATAACTTTGCCACAGTGTCTACGCAGCAGTGGTTTCAGAAAGGATGCAGTCCTTCCACCAACGCTTCACCTTAAGATGTACAGATTGTACGATAGTGCCAATGAGGACAGAAAATTAGTGCAATCTTTGTTTTTCCAATGATTGCATGTGTTGAGAAACATCAAAAACTCGACCGACTGATACACAGTACTTCCTCACTTTGTTCACCACACTGAATAAAGAAGTACATTCAAAGTTTTGCAGAAATTTATTAATAACAACAACAAAAAAAACCCCATCAAATTGTACGATTCTTGGCTTTTGTCTAATAAACTGAAAGAAGCATTATTTATTTAGTCCTTTCAGCTTTGTGACAGTCCTGAAGTTGCAAATGATGCCAGATACACAGATTGCGTTGAAAAGTGGGATTGGAGGCTTTGCATTTGCACTGACAAACGCGACTGTGCCGGTCTTGCAGAAACCCGTTTTCTCAGGTGGTGTTTCTGTTGTAGCAAACTGGCAGCAAGTGTGTACGTGTCTGCCAGCTTGGATGTTTGATGAAAGGAGTTCTCATTAATGCAGAGAAAACACACACATACAGTTTTTGTTGTGTGCATCTAAAACAGCTCACTGGACACTTTATTAGGTACATCTACTCAACTACTACGTGCAAATAGCTAATCAGCTAACCACATCTCAGCAACTCAGTGCATTTAGGCATGATCAAGATGACCTGCCTAAATTTAAACTGAGCATCAGAATGGGAGAGAAAAGGGACTTTGAGTGACTTTGAACATTAAACAGTTGTTGGTGGGCTGTCTGCCTTTCAGAAACTGCTGATCTACTGGGATTTTCCCCACACACCCATCTCTAGGGTTTACAGAAAATATTTTCTCTTCTTAAAAGCAAAAAAGAAAATATCAAGTGAGCGGCATTTTCTCTGGGTGAAAACAGCTTGTTGATGCCTGCATTGTAACCTCTTGTTACAATCAAGGTATGCACAAGAGCATCTCTGAACACAGCCAACTCACACCTTGAAGCAGATGGGCTACACCACACCGGGTGACACTCCTGTCAGCTAAGATCAGGAAACTAACAATGACCACGACAAGAAGATATCTGAGATCAAATGGTCACCAGCTGCTCTCAATCCAACTGGGCACCTTTGGGACGTTGTGGAACAGGAGACGCACATCATTAATGCATGCAGCAACTGTGTGATGCTGTCTCGTCGATATGGACAGAAATCTGAGCATTTTTCGAGGTCTTTGTTTAATCTTTGCCGTGCAGGATTAAAGCAGTTGCCCAGCAAGTGGGACCTAACAAAGTAACCAGTGAGTGTGTACCTTTGGAAGAATCCCTCCCCCAGAAACTCAGGCTCATTTCTACCTGTAGCTGTTTCTTAACACGTTCGTTCTTCTGCGCCTCAGTGATTCGTTCCTCCTCGCTGCGGTGGCTGGTGACGCCGTCGCTGAGAAGCTCGGCACTGGCCTCAGCGTTCGTTTCATCCTGCTCGTCGTTTTCTGGCGCCGGTGGAGATGTCATGGCCGTCTTAAGTTCTTCCCTGGTCTTCTCCAGGTCCTCTTGTGCTGACAGAGCCTGGAAAGAAGATACATGCATACTTAGAAAGAGTAATGACAACCACACAAACACACAGACACACAAACACAGGCATTACTTTGTGTTGCCATTCTGTTGCTTCCTCTTCTTTTTTTCTCTTTGCGTCCTCAAGCAGAGCAATTTTGGCAGTGAATTCTGCTAACTCAGCAGCCTGTGGAAAATAATAACACATCCAAGCAAAAACTTATCACAAACATAACTGACATTTCAAGCACACAATGCTATTTGCAATGCAAAATAATATGAAGCAGAAATAATGATGCAATTCTCATATTTTAGGGAAAGGGTGGTTCTGGTGGAGAAACACAGCCTTTGCTACATGGTTACAATTTTTTTTTACATTATGTATTTATTTATAAAAAAAAAAAATTCTAAATGTGAATAAAAGAGGAAAATGATGAATAATCACTGAACTGGTCAAACATGAATCTATAACAAAAAACTGTTATGTGGTTTTTCACAGATCTGGTGGCATCTACACCTGCACCACAGCACCAGTATAAATGAATGAATATCCACGTGCGTGTGCAGGTACCAGTTGTTCCTGGGTCTTCATCTGGTCAGCGGCCTGCTGAGCCAGCGCTGTCTTGGCCTCCTCCGCCACCTGCCTCTCCCTCTCCAGCCGCTCTGCTTCTTCCTTCGCCCGCTTCCTCTCCTGCTCCAACTCTAGCGCTCTGCGGGTCTGCTCCTCCAGCTCTGCAGGCACACGCATATCAGCGTCTCAATATGCATCGCTAACATGCAGTGACCACAGTTTCAGATTTGTTTTTTAGAGTTTTTGTTTTCTATTCAGTTCAGTTTCCAGAGTGGATTTGATCGTGTCAGTTTAGCCCCTTTTTGCTCTCAGATTATTTCGTTTTTATGTGGTCCAGGGTTAGTTTTAGTGTTTTAAATGGAATCACCTCTCAGCTTATGCAGGCATCTAAAGTCTTAATACAGAAATCCATTTATTTAAAAAAAAAAAAAAAAAAACTGAAGTCAAAATGAGTTAACTAAAATGTTTCTCACATCTACTTTTAAGCTTTACTTGCAACCCTGGATGTAAAGTCGTCAACAAATATAAAGTTTTTTAAATAACATGTATTTTTAATGATGAACCGAAAACATTTTATGTTTACCCGGTAAAAAAAAAATCCAAGTTAAAGAACTGCAGCAGACCAATATTTTCAAACGTCACGAGTTCTTTAAAATATGTTTATTTTTCATTTTTTAAACTTCCACATTTGTACCTGTACAGTCCAGATACAGAGTGGTGAATCCAACGCTTCAAGCATTTCTTAGATTAAAAACACTCCAGGTGTGAATTGTTCTTAATCTTCTGGGATCGGCGCCAGTACAGCCTGCTGCTGCCTGCGGTCTGCACTGCAGCTTCTATGTTATGCAAATTCAGAAAATTAGTAATAAGATGATGAACCACAGATGCTGATCCGTCTTAGATAGCAGTTCCCAAATGTTAAACATCAGCCAAGTAACGCAAACTTGTGGGTAGGTGTGCAGATTATCAGATTAGATACACTTCACAATAACCCTCACTTCAGGATGGGAAACTGCATTTGACCTC